TATATATATATATATACTAGGGCTGTCAAAATTAGCATCAACGCATATAATTAACTTGAAATATTTTTAATATAAAAAAAAAAAATTATGCAATTGACGCAGCTGCAGTTTTTTTTTATTTCCTGTTGTGGCCGACGTGTGTTCAGGGCTGGTGCATCCATAGAGGCGACCTAGGTGGCTGCCTTGACCGGCAGAATAGCGAGGGTGGTGTCCGCGAATTGAGCCAGACTGCACACCACACACCAGTTGATTGGTGAAGTAGAGACAGTGATGGAGCCAATTATGATATGGGGATGGTTAGGATGCCATGATGGACAGAGGCCAGTGGGAAAATTTGGCCAGGATGCCGGGGTCAAAAACCTACTCTTTTTCCAAGGACATCCTGGGATTTTTAACGACCAAAGAGAGCCAGAACCTCAGTTTAACGTCACATCCGAAAGATGTAAAAGTATTTGTTAAAGTACCATTCTTGAGGAAAAACTACCCAATACAGTCAAATGAGAATTTGTAATTAGTTTCTTATTATCACTGATAAAGATAATCACAATTTTGGGTTGGTTGCTTCTCAAGTTGGTCAGATTGCCCTTTCTGGCTGCGTCCGAAACCGCATACTTCCATACTAAATAGTACGCTAAAATCAATATGCGAACCGAGTAGTATGTCCAAATTCATAGAATTCGAAAATCAGTATGCGAGAAGTACCCGAATGACTTACTACTTCCGGCGAGATTCTAGAGTGCACATCCCATGCACGCTGCGTTATCCCATGATGCCCCGTGAGCGAATTCATGAATGGGAGTAAAGCAACGCAGTTGACACAGGTAGGTCATGTGACCATGACAAAATGGTGGATGTAGTACGTCCGAATTCCATTCATACTTTTCACATTCATACTGTATAGAACGTACTTTTCTAACGGCCGAGTAGTGCGTTTAAATTCAAATGCAGTTCCTACTGAGTAGTAGGCGGTTTCGGATGCAGCCATTGTCATGTTCAAAAAAACCACACACACACACACACAAACACACACACGCACGCACGCACGCGATTTCAATGGACATTTTCACAAAATAAATTAAAAAAAGAATAGTCTACAGGCAAGCTGATCAGAACTGAAGGGTGCAAAAAGTGCAAGTATGAGTTAGTAACGGACTTTACAGAACTGTTTACCTGGTGTCTGAATAAACTCTGGAAATATGAGTTTTCTAAAACCGCAGATATGGGGTTACTTAATTGGCAGAGTTTTGGGGCAGAATTTTACAAGTCCTCCATAAAATATTCAGTCTTGGTTTGCAGACACATCTAAATTATTTATGGCTTCAAAATGAAAAATCGGAGAAAATTCTACAGGCCAGCTGCACAGGCTTTGGGCATTTTATTTTCCACTTATCCAAAAGCATGTGCTTAAATATTAATGGCCCAAATTGTCATCTGGGATTTGTCTGATCATGTGAAGGGCAACACCATGACACTGGTGGTAGCCGAAGGTGTCTTCTCCAACACTTATATCTAGGCTTCAAAGCATATATGACCTTTGTGTTGGGGATATTTGGTTGCAGGTACACAATATTATGGACACAAAAATTTATTAAATGTGCTACCTCATTCAAGGACTCTAATTATACTTTAATCAAGCAACAAGGGGTCCATGTTTTGCAATGTTTCTTTGTTTTTGATGAATACCTCCATAATCTTTTCTCTTCGTCATACCATCCCCAAAGACGCACAACCGCAGAGAATTGCTTTCAACTACAAACAAAATCACTCCAATTAAGCACAACATGTTTAGTCGTAATAATTTATTTATATTCTTTGAACACACCAACGTGTTCCAACAATAGCAAAATGACATTTAGGTGTATATTTTATCTGTGCTTCAAAGAAGCTGGCAGTGACATTTTGACTTTTTTTTTTGGCCATCTAATCCAAATGAAGAGTGTATAATTTTAATTTTAGCTCATGATCTTTGTGTCTGATTTGAAAATCTCACTATATGGTAGTGGATGTGGGAATACAAAGACAGCAAAGGCCCATATATGCACATCATATACAATTTTAGCAAATGTTTTAGTCCTGACTTACATTGTATTGATGCATTTAAGGCAGAGTATATATTTCACATTTGCAATCCCTGGGAGTCAAACCTATGGCCTTTGAACACCTTACACTAATGTTTCAGCCAAGATACTTGAACTTGAACTTCCTTCTGGGTAATACAAAATATTCTGCTCAAGCCATGCATGTGAATTGACTTCTAAGCCTGCTTAAGCCAGTTGCCAGTGGTGTAAAATGCAATGTTCATTTTGTGACCCTGAACCATAAAACCAGTCTTAAATGGGAAGTGAAGCAGTCAGTCAAGTTGACATTATTGTAAATTACTTTCCACTTTAATAAAAATGTATTAAACAAACACAATTAATGTAGTCATTTTAATGAAAAGGGCATGTTTTGCCTTAGTTTTTAGAACTAGGGCACCAACATCTTGTAATAATCGCTGTGTCTGACATCACTGGATTGGTTCTGTTCCCTGAGTTAAACAGATACAGTGGAAGTAATCAAAGACCATATAATACACAAGACACATCACTTGTATAATTTTGAATAAAAGAAAAGTGTAACGTAATTGACATATGGCAAATGATGCCCCATCTACTAGTACAGGACCCAATCATCGATCGCTGTAGACTGACATTTCTCTGGGGGAGAATCTCGGACCAGACGTGTGCTTTTACAACAGTTTTTGTGGTCAACAATGCACTAGAATCTCAATGAAAACTTGCTTTACAGACATAAGCAATTTATCCACAATAAGCTTGGAATCTGTACTTTTAAATGAACCAACTACACTTGGAAACAAGTTTTTAGTTTTTTAATATGTATGAAACGAACACGAGGTACAGTCTGTCCTGTCAAACACACACCACATGACAGCAACTACTCAAATGCCCCACAAACTTGTAAACAAAGAGTCACTGTCATTTCCGGAGGAGATTCACCATCAAGACCAAGTTGTGGATTACTTCAGAAGACAATCTGACGAAGGATTATCCAGAGGAGAACGGCAATAAATGAGGTTGGTGTCGAGATCTCGTTACTTTCAAGTAGCTTGAGCAACCTCAAAAAATATGCTGATTTTGTTTGATTTGAATGTTTAGAAATGAAACTTATGCAACAGTTGTTTAATTAATTATTATTATTTTTTTATGGAATCGTAAGCTTGGCAAACAGTTTTGGAGAATTTGATGTTGCCCCATTCAGACAGAATGCCTGCACATACTGGCCGGGAGGCATTTCAAAGATGGCGGCTGAGTAAAATGACTTACCTTAAAGGGACTTTGAATGATTGGACTGACCGAAGACTCTGGACAGCCTAATGTATCCCAATGCATCAGGTTGTGGATGTGTAAAGCAGAGCTGGTGCGAATACAAGCATGAAATTTGTGTCTAATACAAGGGGATTCAAAAAGAAAACCACAACTTTCGGGTTGAGGTCTGGAGGGGGTCTTATTTACTACAGAAAAAAAAAAAAAAAAAAAGCGCTCCTCACATCGATCAATTACCAGCGGTTCCATCATGTTTTTTTTTTGATTAAATACAGATTTTCAAAGTTGTGGAATTCTTATTAAATCGCCCTATATATATATTAAAAAAATATATAAGTTTTCCATTTCTTTCCTGTTCTTTTGATGCACCTTGATCCACTATCTCACGCTGGTTTGGGGCTGCCAGACAAAGGGATTTACATTTAGATTAAGGATATAATGATTAAAATAGACATAACTCCACGCTTTACTAAGTCTGTGCGGGTTATGACATATTCACTTATAAAAACAATCTCTTAACATAAAAAACATAAAAACCTGCACTGTGAAAAACTGTGCCCATCTTAGTTTTGTTTGAACTCGAACAGAGGTGAGGGGCTGTAGTAGTGAAAAGTGAAAGTACTCACCCCATTACATCGGGTAAAAGACCTTGTTGACAGTCATACAGCCAGGCAGTAAA